TTTCACTGAGTGCTGACTACACTGCACGGTTCAAAGAAAGGATACAAAATATATTTAGTAGTAAACACAAATTAAATTTTCCGCTTACACGCTTCTTAGTAGGTGATACCTACCAGGACGTCATATAAAGAAGACCATGTTGAGCTGAATGCAATTAAAAAGAAACTATAGCCTTTTTACTATTTTTTTATTAAATAAATATACTGTATATGCACAATGACTAAATTTTTCTTTTACTAAAAAGATCAGCATAGACTGCTGGTAAATGATGGCACATGGATACTATCAGCTTAACATAGACAATCTTATCAGTGAGTGTTCATTTTTCTGCATACATTGTGTATGAATAGATGTACATGGGACATGGGGTTGATTTACGAAAACTGGAGAGTGCAAATCTGGTGCAGTTGTGCATGGTAGCCAATCAGCTTCTAACTTCAGCTTGTTCAATTAAGCTTTGGCAATACAACCTGGAAGCTGATTGGTTTCTATGCAGAGCTGCACCAGATTTTGCACTCTTGAATTTAAGTAAATCAACCCCATGGTATTTGCTCATTACTTGTATGTAAGGAGGTGTTATAGGGTCTTTAAGAGACTTAACGCAACTTTTTCACCATAGTGTTGTTAAGAGAGGTTCTGCTTTTTGATTGGTGGGAAGTTCATCCAAATGAGGAGGAAGGGTACCAGGGGTGTATAGACCAAACAAGTAGAGACTGGGTATTTGACACTAGAGAAAGATTTATGGGGGGCTGAAAATCAGGGGTGTAGATAAGAAGGCAGAACTGATGGTCCAAATCTACAGAGCATCCTTGCTGGCAGGAGTACCGCAGGAGTTGCACAGCCCAGGCATTCTCAACATAATGGCCTGTGTCTCCCCACCGCTGACAGAACAGTACAACAGGGAGCAGAGAGGAGAGAACTCCGATTGACTGTATTGACAGTAGGATTTTGGCCCCAACCACCAGCAAGGAGGAAGTGCCAGGGACACTGTAGGATGCGGTAGGTGACCAGAGGAACCCACAACAGGCAGGTAATGATGTTGGGAACTGCAGGAAAAAAAAAAGGACAGTCCAAATGGATGAATCATTCAGGACGTGGTAAGCCAAGCTCCCCTGAGACTCTTTGTTGCTTAAGTGCCACTGCTGCTGACCTCTCGTGTGTTTTACTGCTCAAATGAACTATTTCACTATTCGGGTACAAAGACTTTGGAATATGCTATTGTGTTAGGCCACTCCCATTGTTGCCTCAATTTTGCCACACCTACAATTTACCACTGCAGGTGCAGCACTCCACCTAACTGCCCAAGGTTGACCACTTCCCCTCCCCCTAAAGAAAAAAACAGCCCTGGTATGAATTGCCCTTCATAAAGGGAAGACTGTGCTGCTGCAGTATGACTTGTAAAGTTTTCAACTATTTTATATGAAAAAGTTATAAAAATACTTGCTGGTGTTATCTTGGGATCATTGTTGTAGGGTATATGCAACTTCTGCTTTCTGCTTAAAAATGCACAGCGACGATCTATTATTCTGCTATGATTGCTGCAGGCTATGTACCTTTTAACCTAAAATCTGAATGCTGCGCCCAATAGTCTTTTAACACACATCTGTATATTGGCCTGAATACAAAATCCTCTCTGGTATTAAAAGAGGTATAGACTCCAGAGAAAGAGATATCATATTACCCCTGTACACATCATTAGTAAGACCTCATCTGGAATATGCAGTTCAGTTTTGGGCACCAATTCACAAAAAGAACATTGGGGAACTGGAGAAAGTACAGAGAAGGCAACCAAACTGATAAGAGGCATGGATGAGCTCAGCTATGATGAAAGATTAGAGGAACTGAATTTATTATCTCTTGAGAAGAGGAGATTAAGGGGCAATATGATCAACATGTATAAATACATCAGTGGTTCATATAGTGAACTCGGTGTAGAGCTATTCACTCTGAGGTCATCACAGAGGACAAGGGGGCACTCTTTATGTCTGGAGGAAAAGAGATTTAATCTCCAAATATGGAAAGGTTTCTTCACAGTAAGAGCTGCAAAAATGTGGAACAGACTCCTTCAAGAGTTGGTTCTGCCAGCACAGTGGATTGCTTTAAAAAAGGCCTGGATTATTTTTTGGATACACAGAATATAACTGGATACTAACATTTATAGGTAATGTCAGGGACCGCGGGTCTCGCAGCGGCGCACAGGTCTGCACATACACAGATTGCCTAGGTGCACTAATGTGCAGGCACTAGGACCAGGGCGTTGGCGGCGGCAATTGCACCAATGACGGTGCAGGGTGCACTATTTAAACTGACCAGGTGGTGACTAGGTTGCCGCAAGGTATAGTTCCTGTACCTGTGTTCTGAAGTGTGTTCCTGTTGCCGATCCTGCTTGTCCTAATTTGTGTTGACCTTCTCCTGCTCTGACCCCCGGCTCGTCCCTGACTACTCTCCTGCCTGTTGTTATATTACTATTGGACCTCCCATTTCTGAACTTTGGCTCGTGACCCGGCTGCTCTCTGTCTACTGTTTAGTACCTACCTGCCTCCACCGTTACCGACCCGGCTAGTCTGACTACGCTCATCCCTGACTGTCATCCATCCATCCCGCTCGGGACATGGACTTGTCAGCCTCTTCACAGCAGGCTCACCCCCCGGCACGTACCCTCGGCGGGACCCCTCTACCACAGTTGGGTGCACTCAGGAGTCGTGACCTGGTTTCAGTCTTGTACCAAGTCCATCCCCACCATCAGGGGCTCTGGTGAAAAGGCAGACTGGGACTTAGACTCCGCGTCCTGGGGAATCCTGTTCTGTGGATCACTAGAGATTCCGCTGGGCGGTGCCTGACAGGTAAAGTTGATCCAGGGAATATCCAATTGCCTCTTGGGGGATCAGGAAAGATTTTTTTTCCCTGCAGGAGAAAATTGGATCATGCTTTGCTGGGTTTTTTTTGCCTTCCTCTGGATCAACTGTGGGTATAGGATTATAACTTTTTTTTTTTAATGGTTGAACTGGATGGATGTTTGTCTTTTTTCAGCCAGACTAGCTATGTAACTTCCCCCACCCTTTCTTAGTTGCTGAGCTCTCTTGCTCTTCCCAGGAGCCTAGGACCACATCAGAGTAGACATGTGGAGTTCGTTTCGTTCCAAATCGAAATTCGGATGAATTTTCCGTTATTCGGAGATTCAGATGTATCCGCATTCTGAAATACAATAGTAATGAATTTAAACAAATCTGAAATAACGAAACAAAATTTGGCCTAAATTTGAATTGATTTGAATTCGAAAACATATTTGGAAACAAATTTGGAAAAAAAATTTGAATTTGAAAACAAGAACAGAATAAAACAGAGCAGAAAATAAAGAAAAAGAATGGAATAGAAGAAAAGAATAGAACAGAAAAGAATAGCGGAAAAAAATAACAGAATAAAAAATAAAAGGATAGAGCAGAATACAGTGGAAAATACTAGAGTAAAACAGCAAAATAGAATAGAAAAGGAATAGAAAAGAATAGAATCAATTAGAAAAGATTAGAATAGAAAATCAAAGAAAAGTACAGAAAAGAAAATCAAAGAATAGAATAGAAAATAATAGAATAAAACAGAGCAAAATAGAACATAAAATAAGAAATGGAATAAAATCAATTAGAATAGAATAGACTAGAAAAGATTAGAAAATAAAAAAATAGAATAGAAAAGATTAGAACAGAGAATCAAAGAACAGAATAGAATAGTATAGAAAAACAATAGAACAGAATAAAATTGAAAGGATACAACTGCCTTCCGAAATTCAAATTTTGAATAGAATGAATTTGAACAGAATACATTAGAATAGAATACAAAATAGATAAGAATAGAATAGATTAGAAAAGACTAAAATACTTTACAAAAAATTGTGAGCTGCGCTTTGGTGACGTGGGTAGGGATCAACAAACGCACTGAAAATTTTCAATATTGTCATGTAACTTTTCATATAGCCCATATACCAGGGGTCTCCAAACTGCGGCCCGAGAACCGTATGTGGCCCTTTGCTAGCCTTTATCCGGCCCTTGGGGCACTATTCCTCCCAATGATATGAAGCAGTATTCCTTCCACTGACACCAACAATGGGGCACTATTGATAACACTTATGTGGTACTATTCCTTCCATTATTATCAATGATTGGGCACTACTCTTCCTCCTACTGACCACCACATCCCTGAGGCCATGTTTGTTCTCACTGATGCTGGGCCCGAAACATTTCTCACTGATGCTGGGCCCGAAACATTTTCCCCCCCACTGGCCACACTCCGGCCCTCTTAAAGTCTGAAGGCCCTTTGTTTGAAAAGTTTGGAGGACCCCTTATTTTTGTTGAACCTGTATACCATCAAATCCCTACAAATATGGATTGTGGATTATAGATTGTAACATTTGAATTATTATTGAATCCGTTGGAATATTTTTTGAACCTCAGTTCGCGAATTCAAATTCAGTTTGAATTTGAATATAATGAAACGGGCTGAAAAATGAATTAAACTACCGTATTTTTCGCACCATAAGACGCACTTTTTTCGGTGCCTGACAAAAAGGGGGGAAAATGTCAGTGCGTCTTATGGAGCGAAAAATGTGGAAATGCGGCTCCGGGCATTTCGGTTTTTTGCCGCCACCATGTCAGAATACCGGGCCGGTTGCTCAGCTGTTTGTCTCTCCTGCAGAGCTAGCTACCTGTTCCTCGCCCCCAGCGCTGCACAGTCTTCCCGCGCTGGCTTCTGTGACAGCCGGGTGCCCACTGCGCATGTGCTGCGCTTTGTGAATGATCCGGTGTCTTCTTATTTCGGACACATGAAAGGTCACAGAAGGCGCCGGGCCATTCACAAAGCGAAACAAAATTTGCGCTTCTTGCACCTGCGCAGTGGGCACCCGGCTGTCACAGAAGCCGGCCCGGGAAAACAGAGGAAGGCAACTCCGCGAAGTGGGAGCGGGTACCTGTCAAATTCAGGTACCCGCTCCCCCTCCCTCCCCAAAAAAGGTCAGCAGTCTCTGGTCATCCCCTTCACTGTCTGCAGTCTCTAGAGTAAAACAGCAAAATGGAATAGAAAAGGAGGTAGAAAAGAATAGAATCAATGTACTGTCCGCAGTCTAGGTCATCTCCTGTACTGTCTGCAGTCTCTGGTCATTCCCTGTACTGTGTCCAGCAGTCTCTGGTTATCCCCTGTACTGTCTGCAGTCTCTGGTCATTCCCTGTACTGTCCGCAGTCTCTGGTCATTAGAATAGAAAAGATGCACTGTCCGCAGTCTAGGTCATCCCAATGCACTGTCCGCAGTCTCTGGTCATTCCCTGCACTGTGTCCGCAGTTTGAACTGGTCATCTCCTGCACTGTGTCCGCAGTCTCTGGTCATAGAATGCACTGTGTCCGCAAAATACTTTACTCTGGTCATCCTTTGTGACTGTGTCCGCAGTCCACTGGTCATCTCCTGTACTGTGTCCGCAGTCTATAGGTCATCTCTGCACTGTGTCCGCAGAACCGTCTGGCCCTCATCCTTTATCCGTACCTGTGTCCGCAGTCTATTCTCCCAATGATATACAGTATTCCTTCCACTGTCACCAACAATGGTCATTGATAACCTGTACTGTGTCCGCAGTCTCATGGTCATCTCCTGTACTGTGTTACTCTTCCTCCTACTGACCACCTCCCTGGTCCATGTTTGTTCTCCTGTACTATGTCCGCAGTCTCTTGGTCTACCCTGTACTTTGTCCGCAGTCCGGTCATCTCCTGTACTATGTCTGCAGTCTCTGGTCATTCCTGTAAAAGTGTGTCCGCCAGTCTCTGGTCATCCCCTGTAATATGGATCTGCAGTCCATTGGTTCAGAATATTTTTTTTTTGAATCCGTTGGAATTTTTTTGACCTGTTCTAAAACCAAGGTGCGTCTTTGAATAAATGAAAGGTGCGTCTTATGGAAAAAAATAAACGGTAATTTAACTAATCAAATGAAACGAAATTAGTCAACAAAACAAAACAAATGTTTTCATTTTGCACATGTCTACATCAGGGGGCTTCTGGATGATTAGCAGGAGGAGATTGAGGAACATTCGTGGATAAAGCCAGAAACAACAACCATTTTTACAGCCAGGGATGAAGCTCATTGAGCAGATCTGTGCTCTGTTAGCTGCTTTGGAGGGCAGGGAAATCACTGGGGTCTAACAGACCTCAAAATGTCTCCATAAAGAGTACCTGTCACTTGCCTACTGCTATCACATAGGGGTTTTTGTAACCCCTTTTGATAGCAATAAAGTATAAAAAAAAAATAAATACAAATGTTAAAAAATTAAATTATAACTTGTATTGAAAACATAAAATTATTTGTAACCCCCCTTGCCGTGCACAAACCCAGAAATGCAAACGCAGCACATGTTGCACATGTGTATTTAAACCTTGGTATCCCATGGTAACACCCATGTGAGGTATCACCGCCAATGTTGGAGTGAGAGCAATCACTCTAGCACCATAGCCTGCAGTGACTAAACTGAGCAAAGGCTTTGAAAGCATCACCTATAGAGAATTTTGGATACCATACTTTTTTGCGATATCACGGGCGCACACAATTTTAAGATTTGGCATGTTTGGTATCTATTTATGTAATGCAACCCCATCCTTTATATTTTATTAAAACACTGGGTATTATATTGTGTTTGTGTGCAATAAAATTAATTTTATTATCTGTTTTCCTGAAAATATGCATTTGATAAACAGTTGTGCAAATATTGTGCAACATAAAAAGTTGACACTACTATCTTGCTATTTTACTGGGCCACTGCTTTCACAAAATATAGAATGTTCTGGGGGATGGGTTTTAAGTAATGTTATGGCCAAAAATGCGGATTTTCATATGTGTGTGCCAAATAGTGGTTCAGCAAGCCTGTATAATTGGTTTTATAGGAAGTCCTGAATTACATTTGAAACAAGTCCAATTGGTCCTAAACATGTCAATTTGTTTTGAGTATTCTTAAAGAAATTCTAAAGGTTCATTATTTTTTTTTTTTGCAAAATAACAAGCATGTCTATACATACCTGCTGTGTGCAGTGGTTTTGCACAGAGCAGCCTGGATCCTCCTCTTCTCGGGTCCCCCGTCGGTGCTCCTAGCTCCTACTTTCTGTCGGATGCCCCCATAGCAAGCAGCTTGCTATGGGGGTACTCAAGCAGGCTGTTCCCATGCTGCTGCTCTGTGTGTCCATTCACACATGGAGCTGCAGCTTGGCCCTGCCCCCTCTCTCCTCATTGGCTGACTGGCTGTGATTGACAGCAGCGGGAGCCAATGGCTCCCGTTTGCTATCTCAGCCAATGAAGAGGCAGAGACCCGGGACAGCTGAGGCTGTTGTGCACATCGATGGATTGTGATGTGGATCAAGTAAGTAATGAGGGGGCTGGGGACAATGCTGCACACAGAAAGTTTTTACCTTCATACATAGAATGCATGAAGGTAAAAAACATTGAGCCTTTACAACCACTTTAATTCCAGGTTCACACTGAGGCGGTGCGGAATTTGCAGCGTTTTCTGTGCGAATTCTCCACCGAATCAGAATCGCACCCTGTTCATGCGAAACACTGTTGGTGTGTTAAGTTAACAACACCCCAAAAGCGCTCCACAAAACGCAGCCGATGTGCAAAATCGGATCACATAGGTTTGAATAGCCATGCGATCCGATTCTAGTGAGGACCCAAAAAAGGGTCCTGCACCTTTTTTGTTTTGGGTGTGGTGCGATTAGAGTCATACAAAATGTATGACTCCAATCACATTGCACACAAATCGCATGTGGTTTGCACAGGAATGCAGTGTGGTTCCTGTGTTAATCACATGTGATGTACCGCACCAGATATATGTGAACCCGGGCTGAAATATTATTCCTTTAGATCTACAACTGAAAAACTGTAGAGTTCAAGAAAATGTGCCACGTTATAATGGCTCACCATTTGAAAGCGTACAACTCTGTATAGTACAGTAGTAATGATTTCCAGAAAAAGTACGGTTTATTTGGATATTGAGACTTGCGCAGAAATGATGTAATTGTAATAGAATGTAGCAGCTGACTCAGAAGAGGAAACGGTTTCCCTGACTGGCAAAGATTTCTTTCCCAAACTGAAATTCACATGATAGCTCGAATGTCCCATGACACTTTTGGGGTGGTTACAAGTAAGTTAAAGTTCTAGGTAACAATCCATTGTTCTAAAAATGCATGTTAAATAGGACTTTCAGTTTGTACCATGTTCGCACTAGAACTGCCACAAATATATTATACATTGTAAAGCAAATATAGCAAAGGTGCAAAATCATGCAGAATCTTTGATCCATCCCTTGCCCTTCTTTGGAATGAATTGTTTAATAAATGCAAAAGCTACACATAAAGCAGCAATGTTGATTTATTTCTGGTCTGTGAGAGATGACAGCTCCGTGAGATATTTTTCCTACTACTCTCTCTGAAATGAAGCCAGAAGAGACACTGCTCTGCTTGAACTATCCGCCAACAATGGAAAAACGTAAACCGCGGTGCAGGGATCATTCATACTGAGTAAAAGCAGAAATAGTAGTATCCTGTGCAATGTAAAATACAGGTATTTTCATTATCAAGAGTTCCAAGACTGAATAAATCTACTGGATAAGTCTAAAAGGTAAAACACACAGCTTTTCTGGGGTTAACCTCCCTAGCGGTATGATTATTTCATATTTTTGGTGCTGAAAGCGGTACAATTATTTTGCATGGAAATATGTAGTTTTTTTATTGTAGGCTGTAATTTTTAGGAATAACTCACTGAAATCTGTCTGAACAAGATTCTAAATCATACATTTAATTCAATAATATAATCAAACCAAAAACACTGAAATTTGAAATATAGCGCTAAGTTCGCACATCACTAAGCAAAGTTGCAGAATCGTTTTCAGTGTCTGATGACGAATTTCTCCACGAATCATTATCACTCAATTCTGCAAGTGGTTCTGATTTACTATCGCTGTTCTCTAGCTGATCTAAACCCGCTTTTGACCTAAAGGGACGCTTTTTGGACGCCATGGATTTTCTCAGTTTCCAGGCAGAAAGAACAATCAAAATGCAGACAGGGGACAGGACAAAGCACTAGGGACAATATGTATGTGAAATGGGTTGAAACAGCAATGTTTTACCATGTAAAATCATTTTGAAAAAAATGAAATTTTTTTTAAATTTTAAAATTTCCCGCCGTCAGCGGCGCCCGTACGTCCCGACGTCACAGGGACCCGGAACACAGGAGGCGGATGCCGGCATCAGCCGGAGGAGACACATCGCGGGAGCAAAGGACAAGGTAAGCTCTGCAGGGACTCCCTATACAGCGCTGCATGGTAAGCCCGAGTGTAGCCCGGGGTTACCGCTTTTGGTACAGACATTTTACCCCGAGCTACACTCGGGAATACCGTTAGGGAGGTTAAAGTGTTACTAAACCTTCAACATGAAAATCAGTCTGTATATGCAGTAAAGCATGCTTGTTATACTCACTGTGGAACCTAAGGGGTTAATCATTTGCATTGTTTAAAAAAGCCATTTGATCCTGCCTTCTCTGCCCCTCCTCTTGTTCAAATGTCCACGCTGATAAGACAGACTGAAATGTAGCGCTTCTGCACATGCTCAGTTTAGTTTAGGTTGTTGTTTTCTTGGGAGAGTTCATGTGATCAGCACAGGGCCAATCAGCACTGTCCAGACAGAGGTCAGGTGTTCTGCATCTTCCTAGAGCAGAAAGAAAACTCCTCCTACAAGCTTTAACCAGTGCTCTGCTGAAGTTCCAAGACTGCTCTAAATGCTGATGAGAAAAGGTATTTAGCAGTTTATATTTATTAAAATAATTTCACTTACATGTTCTGAGCACTGTGGGAGACCAGATATAATGAATGCAGGGTCCTGGATTTAGTAGCACTTTAATGCAGCCTTTCTCAAACCTTTTAACATGGAGGAACCCTTAAAATAACTTTATGGTCTCAATGAACTTCTGCTAACAATTACTGTACCTACAGCTCACAGTACAATAGTGTGATGGTCACTAGGAAGAATGCTTGTTAAATTTGTGGCCATTAGGAAGGATGATCTCCTTACATGTAGCTAGGAAGATCATTGCTATCAGTGGTTACTTATCTTAGATGTAGAAATTGCTCATTGCTCAAAGAACCCCTAACAACCTCAGGAGGAACCCTAGGGTTACACTGAACCCTGTTTCAAAAAGGTTGTGTTATGGTATAATTAAACTTCTAAATACACAGATGCCAGCACTCAAAAATGTGTTATAAATACAGTTGCGAGAAAAAGTATGTGAACCCCTTGGGATTATGTGGAGTTTTGCCTGAATTGGGCATAAAATGTGCTCTGAACGTCATCGAAGTCAAAATAGAAGAACACAGTCCTGCTGAACATAATACTACACAAACATTAGATGTTGCCATGGTTTAATTGCACATAACATGTAAACATTCACAGTGCAGGGAGGGA